CACTATGTGAAGGACCGATAGGGAAAGCCAGCATCCAAATCCGAACCCTCAAGTTCCCCTCACCGGAGGAAACCGGCTTGCCCGAAGGCTGCGAGAATTCCGACTCCGCGCTCTCCCCCGACAAGATCATCGCCTTCCTCAAAGCCACGCTGCTCCTGCGGGACCCACTTGAACATCTCTTGCAACAGGAACACCCCACCTGCCTTGTCGCCGACATGTTCTTCCCGTGGGCCACCCACTCCGCCGCCAAGTTCGGGATTCCGAGGATCGTCTTCCACGGCCTCGGCTTCTTCCCTCTCTGCGTGTTGGCCTCCGTGCGACAGTACAAGCCTCAAGACAAGGTTTTCATCGGTTACTTCATGAGTTTAAACATGTTTCATCCTCTTATTCTATAATATAGGACTTAATTTGTCTCAACATGTTTCCTAGTACATGTTTCATCTTCTTATTCCATAACGTAGGATTTTAATTTGTTTGTATCTTAACGGGTTTCATTCTCTTTTTCTGACGATATAACAGGTTTCTTCGTACACCGAGCCCTTCGTGGTTCCGAATCTCCCCGGAGAAGTAACGCTGACGAAGATGCAGCTTCCGCAGACTCCAAAGGACGACGAGGTCTTCACCCAGCTCTTGGAAGAGGCCAACGAGTCGGAGCTGAAGAGCTTCGGCGTCATCGCCAACAGCTTCTACGAGCTCGAACCGGTTTACGCGGAGCACTACAGAAACCACCTCGGGAGAAGAGCGTGGCACTTGGGACCGGTTTCTTTGTGCAACAGGGACACGGAGGAAAAGGCTAGTAGAGGAAGAGAAGCCGCGATCGACGAACACGCGTGCTTGAAGTGGCTCGACTCCAAGGAAAAAGACTCGGTTGTTTACGTTTGCTTCGGTAGCATGACATCGTTCGGCGAGGCCCAGCTTAGGGAAATAGCGATGGGTTTGGAGGGTTCGGGGCAGAATTTCATATGGGTGGTGAAGAAAGGGTCGAGTGAGAAGGTAGAATGGTTGCCAGAAGGGTTTGAAGAAAGAGTTGAAGGTGGAGGGAAGGGGTTGATCATAAAGGGTTGGGCGCCGCAAGTGATGATTTTGGAGCATGAAGCGGTTGGGGGGTTTGTGACTCATTGTGGGTGGAATTCGGCGTTGGAAGGGGTGTGTGCGGGGGTGCCGATGGTGACGTGGCCCATGTACGCGGAGCAGTTTTACAATGCAAAGTTTTTGAACGACGTGATTAGGATTGGTGTGGGTGTTGGGGTGCAAACGTGGATTGGGATGATGGGAGGGGTGGCTGTGAAGAAGGAGGTGATAGAGAATGCTGTGAAGAGGATAATGGTGGGAGAGGAAGCACAGGAAATGAGGAACAGAGCCAAGGAGCTTGCCCTCATCGCCACAAAGGCTGTCCAGGAAGGAGGATCGTCTTACTCCGATTTCAACTCTTTAATTCACGATTTGAGCTTGCATGCACATTGATGTGTACACAAACTTGTTAATTTCCAATGTCATGATCCTTTTGTTTTGTGCTGAATGTTTATCACATATATACTTCTTTCCTACCACCATCTTTACTAATGATACATCACTGTTCATTTACACGATTGATAATGTCTCTTTTAACTAAAATTGTTTAGGGTTTACTTTCTACTAATATTGTAATTAAAAAAAATCTTTATTAATAATGTCCGGTTAATGGTTGTTATTATATTTAATTTATCCTTACATATTAAATTCTTATTTTAATCTTAATTTAGAAGGTTAACTCTTTAGAATGGGTACTAGCTAGTAGTGTAGAATCCGTTAATGAAGATTTTGAAATGTAAGTTCCATGATTTTCTACCCAAGTTGGACTTAAAAAAAACATTACACTTGATGAAGGTAGAGAAAACCCAGACTTGTGTTTCTCGCAAGATGAATGAGGCATTCGTCTTGGGCTCCTTCCGCATTCTTAATTTTATTCATTTTATATGAACGTTTTTTATTATATGAAAACTTAAATTGTTTTATTATATGAAACAGTGGCCTTGTTCAAGACAACAGGATGGGGTGAATCAGATATTAAATTTCTTCCCCTAGGATCTTGATTCTTTCTTAGTTTTTTTTTTTCTCTCTAAAATCAATTGATAATTACAATTATGAATTCAATTAATTAGCCAAAGAAATGGACTCTTTATAAATCTTGCTGAATGAATAAGAGAATATCAAGATGGATGCAAGTTACAAATATTACTAGTATAAAAAACATTTTTAAAATCAATATTTTAAAATTGATTAAAAAGGAATTGATTTCAAATGTGATGCGATGATATTTTTATAAATAATATTACCATTTTTAAAAATCGATTAAAATTTGATTGATTTTAAAAGTGTTTTCAAAATTGATTAACCTTTAACCGGTGTTATTTGTAATACTTTAAAAGTTCTTTGAAATCTAATTCTATATATTATATAAAATTAGTTGTTCAAGAAAAATTTTAATTGTCCTGTTCTAAATAGGATATAAGTCTCCCTCTTTCTCAGTTATGTTTTGTCTCTTTTCTGTCGCACTCCCCACTTCGTCGTCGTCGTCATGTCTTCATCACCATCTCCGTTTTCTCAAACTGTTGCGCCCAACCTTCCCCACAACTCTCTCTTTCGCACCTTTCTTTCTCCCTCTTCACCTTGGTGGCCAACCCTATCATTCTCCCTCGTATTCGCTATTGTCGCCGCCCCTTGCGTTCTACTATGAAAGGTATGTGTTCCGCCCTTCTCTCTCCCTCGTCACTTTGGTCCCCAATTGTCATTTTGATGATTTTGTATCCTCCCCTATCCATTGATTTTGGTTGGTTTTAAGATTTGATGATGTTGATTTTGGTTCACTATTGTTGGCTATCCTTAGTTCTATATATGTTCTATTTATGATGTTGATTAATTTTATTTTAAAATGTATTTTAGTTGTATATATCCTTGGTTGTATTGTGGCTCTTTTGATTGTTTTTAACATATGCAATATTAGAGGTGTTTGATCAAATTAATGCCTCAAATAAAAAAATTGTATTGTTTTTTTTTAGTATTGTTTGAATAATTCTATTTTTAGTTGATGTGTTTGTAAGATAATTATGTCTTGTGTGAGAAATCTGTGTTGTATAAATGGACTGATAAATAAATAGTTAAATAATTACGGATTAAATCATAAATGGGCTTAATAGAACAGTTTTGAGAATAATTGTTATTTGATGGAAATAATAATATTTAGGGGTTATAAATTTCCATTAATGTGAAATAAGGTCCACGCCCCTCACATAAAGTATTCTCTAAAACCCTAGCCATCACGAAAGATAGAGAGAGTAGAAAGAAAAGTCAAAGGGAGTGAAATCTTAGTTCTCTTCTCAAGAAGATCAAAACACTCTAAGGATCAAAGGAGATTTTCATTATAGAGAAAGGTACACACTTTCTTATTATTATGTGAGTATTATGAATTTCAAAGATCCTTTAATTGTCTATAATTGATGTATTAGAAAATTATAGAACTTACATGTGGTATCAGAGCAAGGTTTTTGAAATTGAATGATTCTCCGTGAATGATATGTGTTGTAAAATTGTATAATTCTCCATGAATGTTATATATATACATATATAACGATTTTGCAATGATCCAGAAGACATTTGTCAAATTAAGAAGTTTTAAGCATTTTTTTTTCTCACCGGAAGTGAGATAATTGTGCAACAATGAAAAATAAAATGATATTTTCTCACTGGAAGTGAGATAATTGTACGACAATGAAAATAAAAGAATATTTTCTCACCGGAAGTGAGATAATTGTGCAACAATGAGAATAAAAGAATATTTTCTCACCGGAAATGAGATAATTGTACGATAATGAAAATAAAAGAATATTTTTCTTACCGGAAGTGAGAAAATAATATGAAAAGTGAAAAGGAAAAGGATAGATAAAGAAACAAATATGATATAAATATTATATTTGATCCTTTGAGTACCACCAGAAGTGGAATAATTTTATCAATGTCATTGTTGCAATGTTAAATGATGTTTGGGACAATTATATACATATAAATCCCAATTCATATGAACCCTAATTTTATAAATTAGGAATTATGATTTAATTTTTCACTGCATGTTGTTTGTTTGGATCATGAATGAAATTCTTAATTTTGAATTATGATCAATACATTAAATCCCACATTATCGAAATCCTAATGGCATTCGCGTAAGCATTATTTTCTTGAAATCGAGTGATTGAAAGGTTTCCTTTTTTGAAATGCCTGAATTTGTATTTTAAATTGGAAAGAATTGATTTTTTCCTTTTAATCAAATTTTGGAATTCGTGACTGCGCATTTTACCCTTATATGTATTTCAACGTAGAAATTAATATTTCAAATTGGAAATAATTGATTTTTCCTTTTAATCAAATTTTGGAATTTGTGATTGAGCATGTTACCTTCATGTATTTCAACATAGAATTCCAATGTTTTCAATTTCTAAAGTATGAAATTTTTTTTATATGAAATTCATGAATGATTAAATTGGGACTAGTAAAGTTTTTTATTTACTTGGAATTAATTGTATGATGAATTTGTTAGTCACCAAAGTGGCCAAATTTTATATTTATTTAATTCCAAATCAATGGTGATTTAATTCAATTACTCATAGAATAATGGATGCTAAATAAAATAATTGTTTGTTTATGGGTATATTGAAATTCATTATTATAAGACATTTATGTATCACCCAAAGGTTGATTAGTTGTTCTCATAATTAATGAATATAATTGTGTGTGACTTATGTGTGCTATCAAATTATTTATATACCCAAAGGTATTAGATAATTTTAATTGGTGCATGTTTAGTTGCAAAATAATGATTAAATTTATTAACATCATTATGTTTGTATGTTGTGTGTTGATGTATCACCCAAAGGAGAGCATCAATATACTATTAATTGATGTTTGAATATATTATATGTGTAGCATGTATTTTATGTCTCAAAACACTCATGTGAAAATTTTATTATGTAGTATCTTCACTAAATTCTCTTGTAGTGTCTGTTCCGATTTTTAATGGGCTTAATTTCTATTACTGGAATGAACAAGTCCAATTTTATCTCGATGTATTAGATCTAGACCTTGCTATATTGGAAGAGAAGTCTGCTACTATTACTGACTCTAGTAGTAATGAAAAGAAATCCTATTATAAAGCTTGGGAAAAGTTTAACAGATTTTGCCTAATGTTCATGAGAATGATTGTTGCTGACAGTATTAAGACAACTCTTCCCAAAACTGAAAGTGCTAAAGATTTATGGGTTTTATGGGAGAGTGCTCTTAAACAACTGATAAGTCTTTTGCTGAGACACTAATGAGTACATTAACCACCATGAAATTTGATGGTTCACGTACTATGCATGAGCATGTTATTGAGATGACAAATATTGCAGTAAGACTTAAGTCTTTTGGAATGGCTATGAATGAAACTTCCTTGGAAATGTTCTCCTTTCAGAAAGGAAAAATACTTCATTACCTTTATAGATGACTATTCACGTTATGGTTATGTTTATCTATTGCATGAGAAATCTCAAGCAGTCGATGCCTTGGAAATTTACTTGAATGAAGTAGAAAGACAATTAGACAAAAAAGTGAAAGTTGTAAGATCTGATAGAGGTGGTGAGTATTATGGAAGATATAATGAAACTGGGCAACACCCAGGTCCATTTGCTAAACTTCTTCAAAAACGTGGCATTTGTGCTCAATATACAATGCTAGGTACACCACAACAAAATGGTGTATCAGAAAGGCATAATAAAACATTAATGGATATGGTTAGAAGTATGTTAAGCAATTCAACTTTACCCATATATTTGTGGATGTATGCCTTGAAAACTGCCATGTATTTGTTAAATAGGGTTCCTAGTAAGGTAGTTTCAAAGACACCTTTTGAACTGTGGACTGGTAGGACACCTAGTTTAAGGCACCTACATGTTTGGGGTTGTCAGGCAGAAATACGGATTTATAATCCACAAGAAAAGAAATTGGATGCAAGAACAATTAGTGGATATTTCATTGGTTATCCAGAAAAATCAAAGGGGTATATGTTTTATTGTCCTAATCATAGTATGAGAATTGTTGAAACTGAAAATGCAAAGTTCATTGAAAATGGTGAAGTCAGTGGGAGTACAATTTCACAAAAAGTGGAAGTCAAAGAAGTTAGAATGCGAGTTCCTTTGACTTATACCTCTGACAATAAAGTAAGTGTTTCTCTAACTGTTGTGTCAAACAACAATGAAGAAGAGCAACACAATAATGAACCCATGATTCATAATGAACCTATTGTAGAACAACCACAACAAATAGCATTAAGAAGGTCACAAAGAGAAAAAGGACCAACTATTTCAAATGACTATATGGTACATCTACATGAGTTAGAAACTGACTCAAGTATTAATGAGAATGATCTAGTTTCGTTTTCACAAGCTGTAAGTTGTGATAATTCTGAAAAATGGTTAAATGCCATGAAAGAAGAATTAAAATCTATGGAACAAAATGATGTTTGGGACCTTGTAGAATTGCTAGAAGGTTGCAAGAGAGTTGGTTGTAAGTGGGTCTTTAAG